TTTGATTTCAGAGAAGAACAAATCAAAAAACGCGAATAACGGGAGAGAGAGACCGAGACAGTAGAGGACTAGCATATACTTGGAGAGAAAGTAGTCTTTTAATAAAGAAGGGCAAAATAGACTTTTTAAAAGACTTTTAACAAAAAAATGGGTACGGGTGCAAACAGAAAAACAAAGCGGCTACAGGTTAAAAAGGGGCGCCCTAATAGGGCGCCCCATGCAATTTTTACTATACCCTCTGACCATTAGGTCAATGCTGAATTTTAAAAATAATTATTTAAATTCCACGTGACAATTTCTTATTGGTCAAAATTAAAACATCTAACCTATTAGAAAGACCCACCCATATCTACCCATTTTTCGGACTTACCCGCCCCAACACTAACCTGACCCGAATAAAAAGTTCAAAATAAAAAAAAAGCCCCGCGTGGCAAAATTACAGTTTGTTCTTCCTAACGGCGTGATTCTAGTAAAGAGCTTATATGAGTAAGTTCACAAGTTGCATTTCCAAGCATTGAGGAACCGGATCTTAAACTTTTTGGAACACTTGGAGAAAAATATCAATCTTTTTGGAGCTCACTTGATGTAGCGACGAGTTGGTAGTGATATACTTTGTAGATTTTGGAATCGTATAACTTTCTATGTCACGATTTTGGTAGATTTTGGGGCTTCTTTTTTTTAGTTGAACTTTTTATTTGTGTTGGGTTAGTATTTGAAGCGGGTTAGTACGAAAAACTGGTAGATATGGATGGGTCTTCTAATGTGTTAGATGTTTTAATTTCGGCCAATAAGAAGTTGACACGTGAAATTTAAATAATTATTATTTGTAATTCAGCATTGACCTAACGATCAAAGGGCATAAGTGAACCAAAAAGGTGAATGGAGGGGTATTTTTAGCCCAATAGGTGAATGAAGGATATTTTTAAACCTTTTTCAATAGTTCAGGGTTATTTTTGACCCTCTTCCGTAGCATGTATGATGCTCCCTAACAAAAGGACCTTATATGAAGGAGTAATTACTACTCAATCACAAAGGTGTTGGTGAAATAAAAAAAATACTTGTGCTTTATACACGTAAATATTTAAATAGTCTCTTAAATATTTTCTTGATGTTATAAATAGAATTTTATTTATGGTGAATGTCTATATTTAGAAAGATTCTAGGGTTTATTACTTGGTGGCTAAGTCACTCTCTCCCTATAAATAGAGGGTTCTATTCCATTGTAATTCATCCCAAATCAATAAGAATTCTCTCTCCCTACTTTTCTCTGCAACACTCTTCTTTCTTCTTTTATTATTTCATAACACGTTATCAGCACGAGACTCTAACCAATTGAGTAGAAGCTTTGGGATTGAGCATAATGATTGTCAATTATTCCGTGAACTTCCTTCATGATTAAATTTTAGATTTAGGTAAGTATTTTACTTTATTTTTCTCTTTTATATTCTTGAAATTCTATAATTAATTTTATATACAAGCAAAGACAACAAAGTTTGATTATAACTCTAATGGAGTTTGTAAGAAATTATAACCACCTGAAGTGGTAAAATTTCTATGCCTCGCCATGATCAAATTCATGTATGATTGTGGGCAAAGAATTGAAAACCCGTCCCATTGAATTTGCTCCATTCTCATTCCCTTAAGAGAATGTGATAGCAGTATGTGATAAGTCTGAAAGAAGACAAAATTATTACTATGAATGTATCAATGGATATGGATGTGGCAATAGACGAAATTATAATCGTCATCATTTGTGGTAATGAGAATAATAAGGATTCTCAAAATAATCTTTCGCTCTGTGAAAAATATTTGTCATCGATTTGACATGAGATTTTGTAAAGCACATATAGATGATTATGGTCCATTCATGATGTGAATGTAACAACATCTGATTTATGAATACATATTCATTCTTCAAAGAATATGAATGTGCTAGGTGTAGTGAATNTAGTAGGAAGTCAATGGGTGTCTTGGCCCATCTTGCAGTACAAAGGCGATCTTTGGGTCGAGAAATTCAAAAACTAGCAAATGATGGAATTAGATTGGATGAGACCGAAGAAGGAAATATAACTGCTTATGCCTTAGTGCAATCCTCCCTTGTTGCGCATGTTAAGGCTAAGCAAGACGAAGATCCGTACTTAGTAAAATTAAAAGAAGGAGTCAGAAGCAAAGAAATCACCACTTTCACTCTAGGAAGTGACGGAGTTTTGAAGTTGAATGATCGGTTATGTGTGCCTGATGTAGATGGTCTTAGGAAGGCCATAATGGAGGAAGCTCATAGTTCGAGGTACTCTATCCACCTAGGTGCTACCAAAATGTATCTAGATTTGAAAGAATTGTATTGGTGGAAAGGCATGAAGAAACAAGTAGCAGATCATGTGGCTAAATGTTTAAATTGCCAGCAAGTCAAAGCCGAGCATCAGAGGCTTGTTGGCCTGGCTCAAGACATAGAGATACCATAGTGGAAGTGGGAGATGATTAATATGGATTTCGTAGTAGGTCTACCTCGCACATTCCGTAAGCATGATTCAATTTGGGTTATTGTAGACCGACTGACAAAGTCCGTGCATTTTCTACCAGTAAAGACGACAGATTCCGCAGAGCAGTATGCGCAGTTGTACATCAATGAAATAGTCCGATTGCATGGTACTCCAGTTTCAATCATATCTGACAGAGGCCCTCAGTTTATGGCGCATTTTTGGCAGGCATTTCAGAAAAGGTTAGGTACCAAGGTCAATTTAAGTACCTCTTTTCATCCACAGACCGATGGCCAGGCAGAAAGGACCATTCAGACTCTCGAAGATATGCTGCGTGCGTGTGTTATAGATTTTGGAGGTAATTGGGATGATCACTTGCCACTTATAGAATTTGCTTACAATAACAGCTATCAGGCCAGCATTGGTATGGCTCCTTATGAAGCGTTGTATGGGCGAAGATATAGGTCTCCAGTGGGTTGGTTTGAACTAGCAGAGGTGCCGTTGATTGGTCCAGAGTTTGTTTGTGAGGCCTTGGAGAAAGTTCAGCTAATTAGAGAAAGACTTAAAGCGGCTCAGAGTCGTTAAAAGTCTTATTCTGACAAGAGGCATTGTGAGTTAGAGTTCATGGTTGGTGATAAGGTGTTCGTGAAAGTTTCACCAATGAAAGGAGTTATGAGGTTTGGTAAGAAAGGGAAACTTAGCCCTAGATTTATCGGACCTTATGAAATTCTAGAAAAGAAATGAAACGTGGCTTATAAGCTAGCGCTACTCGTTGAGTTGTCCTCTGTTCATCCTGTCTTTCATGTGTCTATGCTTAGAAGGTACATTCATGATGAGTCGCATATAATACCTGCCGATACAATAGAAATTAAAGAAGGTTTGACTTATGAAGAGGTACCTATAGAAATTCTCGATAGGCAAGTAAGAAAGTTGAGAACAAAAGATATAGCATCGGTAAAAGTTTTGTGGAGTAATCATGATTCAAAAGAAGCTACGTGGGAGGTCGAGGAAGATATGAGGAAGAAGTATCCTTATTTATTTGAGTAACAAAGTATGTGAACCTAGGTTTGGCTTGACATTTATATTTCATTTATTAAATACAAGTTAGCAAGTGTTTATGTCCTTCCTAGATTATACTTAGTTGTTGTAGTGATTTAGTTTATGCCAGAGTATATTTAATTCATTAAAGTGATTTACTTTTGCTAAAGTGTTGTGCTTTAGATTCTTGTTAGTTATTGTGGTACCTCCTTGCCGGAGTGTGAGTAATTAATTTATGAGCTGCGTATGGTGCCTATGAATGACCTGTTATGGTATATTTGGTTGTTGTTGATGTAGTTGTGGTATTTGTGACAGGGATAATTTTTTGGATAGTCCAATTTACAAGGGAAACTCTGCCGAAATTTTTGAAAATTTAGGGAGTTAGCCAAAATTTTGAGTCCCTTGGAAGAATAAGTAGTGCTAGGAAAACTTAAGAGGTTCAAGGACCTAAGGGATGATTGTTAGCTTACGGATAAGGCCCTAGCAACATTCGAGGACGAATATTTTTAAGGAGGGAAGATTGTAACACTCCTCAAATTTATAAAAGTTTCGAAACACGCTAACTATAGAACTAAATTATTACTATTTTTTTTATTATTGTGTTTATCTCGCATATCGTGAAATATATATATATATATANAAATGTATCTTGCTATAACTATATGCATGATAATATGATAGCAAGAGTTTTCACCTCTATGTGAAGATATTGAACTGACGATTCCAACAAGATCATATGAAGACAATACATCTATTAGGAATGATGATTTCAAGGTGAAACAAATTCGTTCAAAAGATCTTTTGAAGATGGTGCACAAGATTGGAATGCAAATGCTTAAGGATGTGAAGTGATGCTTTCATGAGGGGGAGTTAATACGCGTTGTACTCTTTTTCCCTTACAAGGTTTTGTCCCACTGGGTTTTCCTTGCAAGGTTTTTAACGAGGCAACCAAAAGGCGTATTGTTAGATATGTGTACTCTTTTTCCTTTTCTAGAATTTTTTTCCACTGGGTTTTATTTTAGTTAAAGTTTTAACGAGGCACATTATCTGATGAATAGACATTCAAGGGGGAGTGTAATAAATAGAATTTTATTTATGGTGAATGTCTATATTTAGAAAGATTCTAGAGTTTATTACTTGGTGGCTAAGTCACCCTCTCCCTATAAATAGAGGGTTCTATTCCATTGTAATTCATTCCAAATCAATAAGAATTCTCTCTCCCTACTTTTCTGTGCAACACTCTTCTTTCTTCTTTTATTATTTCATAACACTTAGATAAATTTTGCTCTTATAAATTTACCAAAAGTAATGACTTCCGGCCCTCAAATATTTAACAAACTTATTTGGTGGATTTGATGGAACTGAAACAAAAAATTGCTGTTAAATTAAATCTAAAAGGTTTGCCCCTCCTTTTAGCTAATCTTTCTTTTTACTTAATGGCACAAATTGTGAAATTGAAGATAGTATAAAATGATTAAAATCATATTTGCCCAGAGGGGGCAAGAGCTAGAGAGAGAGAGAGAAAGGGCGGACCAAAATACGAAGACGATAAGGCGGTCCGAAAAAAGTTTTTTCAAAGCTAAAAAAGCTGAAGAGAGGCTTCCCCTTAAACCCTTTCTCTCTTCCTCAACACCCCCACAATCTGTCATCTGTGGCAGATTTTGCAAGGATAATTCTCCCTATCAACTGTATTTCTCTCTATCCATTTGGTAAGCTTTCTCCCAAATATTCACTCAATATTTTATGCTTTATCATTCTTTTTAGTCATCACAATTTTATGCTTTACTGGTTTACTTGGTATCCACGAAAATTCTTCCCTACGACACCAAGCTATACGGTTTATGTTGGATTTCACTATAATTTCTCTGGTTATGTTGTTATTTGGAAGTGGGTTAGTTACTGTGTGCAAAACCCTTAATTTAGATACTTATTCGCCAAAACTTACTGAATTAGTCCAGGGTTAAGGTTTTGTATTATAATTTATTCCTTTTCTTTCCTTTGTTTTTTTCTTCAAGTGTCTACTTCCTGTGAATTTTCTAATGTTAATGTTATTTTAGCTCTAACGTGGGGTTGTTTTGGCTGCTAGCTATCGATGGCATCTCAACTAATTAGAGAATGGGCCGGAATACAGAAGTTTCCTGCTGCCACTCAGTCCAAGTTGCTTGAATTACTGGGGAAACTGAAACAGGAGGTGTGCATCTCTTTTTTAATGAATTCTCATTACATGCCATGCTGATTTATATTGTTTGTTTCATTTTATATGACGGTGTTTGAAAGGACATATCGTTTATGTTAAAGCAAATTCTGCAGTTGCTCATGTTCTACATTCAAATCTGAATGGTCTAGCAAATGGTCAGGATAGGTGCTGATAATTGATTTCTTTCGCTGACCAGGTTATTTATCAGAAGAACTATCACTAGTCCTCCTGTTATAGGTTTCTCTTACCTTGTGATCGGCATCCCATTCCCCTTAGTTGGTAGGGTAGATGGTCTGTAGATTCTTGTGTAGCTTTTCATTGCCCCTGTAAAACTGAGCTCATAGAGGCAGTGTTTTCAAAGGCGTGCTTAAGCCCTAAAGCGAGGCTCAAAACATGTTGAGTGCTTCACCTCGTTTAGTGGGCTCTTCAGTGTCATCATCAAGGCTCTAAGACATATTTTTTCTTGCCAATGAGCGTAACGCTGAAGTGGCAACACTAAACAATTGATATTTCACTTTATCATAATTTTTTTGTCAATAAATTTGTCATACTTATAATTATTAGTGTTGGACTACACATACATATTTGTATTTTTTCTCCCTTTGCGCCTTTCTTCATTAAAGCCCACACTTTATGTGCGCTTTGCGCTTAAAGCCCCAATAGACGTTAGAGCTTTTTCGCGCTTTTCGCCTTTGATAACACTGCGTAGAGGAAAGTAAACCTTTTCCAACGATTACGCATACTCCTTACTAGGTAATCATAAGAAAATATTGCAGGATGTTTCCAAAGTGACATCCGAACATAGGGCTAGTTTATCCCTTTTTAGTATTGTGCTGTTAATATTCATTTGTTTTGCCGCTTTCCTTTTTCTAGCTCTTCTTTGGGTTCCCTATCGATGCGTGTATGCCTTCGTCGAAGAAAGAAGGGGAATCACAAGAAATTTTCATAGACCTAGGCCTAATTCCATCGATGAATCATTCGAGAACGAATTTAGCGAGACTAATCTAATCTTATTCAACCTTAGATGGGAATTAGGGCGAAGCCTGGGGCGGTCTCTGCCTTCTTAACACGCGACACACCAACTTGAAGTCTGATTTTAAAATCTCTCTCTACCTTCACAAAACTTCTCGCGCCCTTCTCGTAGTTTTGACTTGCTCTTAGGCTACCGTTGACCGGCTTCGCGAGACCATTTCGGTCTACACACAACATCGAATGAAAGGTTCTTTCCAAGACCATCTGCTATTGAATCAGCTGCTGTTGCCGGCGTTCCGATGTGTGAAGTGGGAGAGAAGGGAGGTCACAAAGCGAACCCACTTAAAATCTTTACTGAACTATGACCGGCCATCATATTAGCAAATTGTGGCTCATATTTCAAATAAAGATCGCCCCGTGTTTGAAAGGAGAAAAAAAAAGAGGTAATATCTATACCTAAATATTAATCCGAATTGACATGAATCTCAATGACAATGACCAAGAATTGACAATTGGTAACGTAAGTAAATATAGAATACATGTAATCCCACAGAAAGATTTCTTTTTATGAATTGTTCATTTTAAATATTCAGTTTAAATAAGTCGTATCTTGCTCAGACCAATAAATAGAGCTGAGGTTCTAGTTAAAGCCGCTAATAGAAAAGCGAAATAACTAGTTAGAGTAAGCATGAAAGGGCTAAATTAAATGAAAGATTGAATCCCCAAGAGCAGAAAGATCAGAAGGAAGTAGGCTCTTAGATAGGGCATTCCCGCTTAGCCCCTGGCTTACCTAAACCGCTGTTAGCATGTTAGCACAAGAGTGGATCGGGGAATCGAAAATGCTTCTTTGATTGTTGAGTAAGGAAGCGTAGCAGGGGAAGGGGATAGCACCGGTCTTGACTTTAATACATGCGCATTATAAGTGCAAAATGGTTGGTTTTCTTTCTAGTACAGTTTACATCTGATATGATGCAACTCCCTTTATTTAACTTGTCGTAGAATATCTGTACCCTGACGATCCTAGTAATGGGGAAAGGTGGTGTTGGGAAATCTTCAACAGTGAACTCAATTATCGGGGAAAGAGCAGTTGCTGTTAGCGCATTTCAGGTATATATTGTGGCAGCATTGGATTGAATAAGTGAAAGGTTTCTGGCCTTTCTTCTTGTTATGGATACTGAAATAAAGTTGTTGATTTTCAGTCAGAAACACCAAGACCAGTGATGGTTTCGCGTTCTCGAGCTGGGTTTACATTAAACATAATTGACACCCCAGGGCTTGTTGAAGGAGGATACGTCAATGACCAGGCTCTTGATCTCATTAAGAAGTAAGTGCTAGCATGTTGAAAATATTTAGGTGCTTGATCTTGTTCATGTATTTTTCCCCCAGTTTGACTGCTCTTTTACTTCTTATATTCTCATCTAATGATCTTCTGGTAATTGGCCTAAAACAGGTTCCTCTTGAATAAGACAATTGATGTTTTGCTATATGTGGATCGTCTGGATGCATATAGAGTGGATAACTTGGACAAACAGATTGTGAAGGCTATTACTGAGAGTTTTGGCAAGGAAATATGGCGCCGAGGAATTGTGGTTCTCAGTCATGCTCAGCTTTCTCCTCCTGATGGATTGATTTATGACGAATTCACGTCCCGAAGATCAGAGGCACTTTTGAAAATTGTCCGGATAGGGGCTCGAATAAGGAAACAAGAGATTCAGGTATGTCACAGTAGTGTACTTCCTCCTCTTGCTCGAAGTATATTTTCAGGAGGATCACAATCTTCTACAATTCACGTTCTCTTGAATCTAAATTCTTGCACACAATTTGAATGTAGATCCTTCCTTGTTATACTCTCCTGAGTCATGTATTCCTTGTTGACACTCTGGGGCATACATGGTAGTGCCTCTCCTTAGGTCCTTCACCTCAAAGATGGCCTGTCTTTGTCACCATTATTAGGAAGGTGTCGCTTCAGCCTCGCCCTTGCTTCCTTTCCATGTCGAGCGTCTTCCTGCTTATGTTCATTGGAGAACTGGGATAACTAACCATCTCTTCTCCCTGAAATTCACGTAATGTGCTTATTTACATCCTACAACATGGCAGCTTCTGGTCTAGTTCATGTTCTTGACCTTCCCACACTGTTGTCTGACGGTATTCATGACTCCTCCCGTTCTTTGACTCTAAACATACTTACTACAGGCTTTTTTTTTGTGTGCGCATGACATGCATGCACGTGAGGAAGAGAGTGAGTTATAATCATCACGCCCAACATCAGCTAATGAAGAGCCTTTGCTCCTTAACCTTCTATGCAAAAGTTAATTTGTTCCTGGTACTTGTCTTTGTTAGACAGTCTGTTTATCTGCCAGTCACAGTAATGTATAAAAGGACCCTAATTTGAGTATATACTTGTAATGGTCAGGGTCTGTGATACTGATCAAAAATAGTTTCTTTTTTTTTTTTTTTTGGGGGGGGGNGCTTGCATTTATAAACGTGACTTGAACTTCAGTTTAGAAACTTGGGGAGGGACTGAGACAAAAGTTAAAGGCTGTCTTACCCTTCTTTTTGATAGTTAAATTTAATATATTGAAAACTAAACCTATAGCAAAGAATCAGTCTCCTCTGTGAAGCGAGAGAATGGAAGTGGAAGAGGAGTTTTGCTAGCGAACCTGACATCTTGCTTGCAAGTTTACATGGATTCCCAGTGATACCAAGTTGTTTGCTCTTGTGATGCTTTTTGCACAACTATACTTTCATCTTTGATATATTGCTGTCTTTGCTGTTAGGCTGCTGCAATTCCTGTTGTTTTGGTTGAGAATAGTGGGAGATGCAACAAGAATGAAAGTGACGAAAAGGTAGGTTTATTCTTCAATTTTTCATCCTTTTGTGAATTTTTTCAGTATACTAAGCTTTTTAAAATGGTCTGTATTGTTCACAGATACTTCCAAGTGGAACTGCATGGATACCCAATTTAGTCCAAACTATTACAGATGTTGTTTTAAGTGGAAGCAAGGGTATTCTGGTTGACCAAAAATTGATTGAAGGTCCAAACCCCAACAATAGGGGCAAAGTGCTAATTCCTTTTATATTAGCATTCCAAGTGAGCTCTCAATCTGAAAACACTTTTTGTGCATTAGTAATTATTGGATTTGTTGTACGGCTAACAACTCCCGCTTTTGCTGTACCTTTGGCAGTATTTCTTTGTTGTGAAAAGGATCCAGAAGTGGATCAAGTATGATATTGCAAATGAGAGCAGCCCTTCATGGGCATAAGCAATTAAGGGGGCGGACCTCGTTTGTCTAGTTGGCATTTTCTTGCCATCAGCTTACCAGTTTATACTTTTTGGGTAAAGTAGTAGTTGTTAGTAGCCAGAGACACAAGTGATATGCGGCAGTAGGATTTCAACTTTTGTCCGCTGAGCGTGGCGTTGTGCCTTGGAGAATATGGTTGGATGCTTGATTAGCAAATGAGTTATGTCATTCTTGTTCTTTGTGCATCTGCAGATTGCACTTCTATTTTTCTTTCTTCGCCTATTGCATTAGGTGAATGTAGATGAAGGTTGTCCTCTCTGTATTGTTCTTCTATTGGAACCTTTTGCAAATCTCTACCATGGCCTTCATTGTCCTTGGTTCCCGACTAGAAGCTCAATCAGTTCGTTAAAAATTTCCGAAGTGGAAATGCGTTGTGGAAGTCCCTTAAACGGTGATCTAACCGTAGTGTTTTAAAAACGNTATATAAGAAAGTTGATTGAACAGATTAAATTTGATCTTTTATTCACACTAACAGCTCCAAATATCAAATTTGCAAAGTCTCCAACCAATATTGGCAGGACAAAATGCAGACAATAAGAAAAAAAAAAAAAAAGAAAAGAGAGAGAGAGAGAGAGAAAAAGAATAATTCTCCTAGTTTAGTACAAATAAACTATATATATATATATATATATATATATATTGTAATAAAATAATAAAAGTAGAAGAATAATATTGCAGAAAAAGAGAGAGTAATTCTTATTGAATTTTGGGATAATTTACAATGGGGTAAGACCCCTATATTTATAGGGGAAAAATGACTTAGCCACAAAGTAAAACTCTCTACAAGATAGACATTCACTCTAAATAGAATTCTATTCATAACACTTCCCCTTGAATGTCTACTCAATAAGTAATGTGCCTCGTTTAAACCTTAACAAAAATAAAATCCAATGGGAAAAAAATCTAGTAAAGGAAAAAGAGTACACATGTTTAATAATACGCCTTTTGGTTGCCTCGTTAAAAACCTTGTAAGGAAAACCTAGTGGGACAAAACCTTATAAGGAAAAAAGAGTGCAACGCGTATTAACTCCCCCTGATGAGAGTATCAATTCACATCCTTGAGCCTTCGCATCCCAATCTTGTGCACTAGCTTCTTGAAGGTTGACGTTGGTAGAGATTTTGTGAACAAATCAGCCATATTATCACTTGAACGAATCTGTTGCACATTGATATCACCATTATTTTGAAGATCATGTGTGAAAAATAACTTTGGTGAAATGTGTTTTGTCCTATCTCCTTTTATGAATCCTCCCTTCAATTGGGCTATGCATGCTGCATTGTCTTCGTACAAAATCTTGGATAGTTTGTCACATTTCAAACCATATTTGTTTCGAATAAGATGTATTATTGACCTCAACAACACACACTCTCGACTTGCTTCATGAATAGCAATTATCTCAGCATGATTAGATGAAGTAGCTACAATTGATTGCTTAGTCGATCGCCAAGATATGGCAGTGCCTCCACAGGTAAACACATAACCTGTTTGAGACCGGGCCTTGTGTGGGTCAGATAAATACCCAGCATCGGTAACCAACAAGATCGGGACTGCAATTATTGCCATAAAATAAGCCCATATTGGTAGTCCCTTTTAGATACCGCAATATGTGTTTGATTCCATTCCAATGTCTCCTTGTGGGAGCAGAGCTATATCTTGCTAAGACATTAACTGAAAAAGTTATGTCAGGCCTTGTAGTGTTAGCAAGATACATTAGTGCACCAATTGTACTAAGATATGGTACTTCAGGACCAAGTAGCTCTTCATTCTCTTCTTGAGGTCGGAATGGATCCTTATTCACATCAAGTGATCGAACAACCATCGGAGTACTTAATGGATGTGCTCCATCCATGTAAAACCGTTTCAATACCTTTTCTATGTAGGCAGATTGATGAACAAAAATTCCGTTTGCCAAATGTTCAATTTGCAAACCAAGACATAATTTTGTCTTTCCGAGATCTTTCATCTCGAATTCCTTCTTTAAATAATCAATTGCCTTTTGGAGTTCTATAGGAGTTCCAATAAGGTTTATGTCATCAACATATACGGCAAGTACAACAAATTCCGATGTTGTTTTCTTTATAAAAACACATGGACAAATGGCATCATTTATATAACCTTCCTTTAATAAATACTCACTAAGACGATTATACCACATTCGTCCTGATTGCTTTAGACCATACAAAGATCTTTGCAATTTGATTGAAAATATTTCCCGGGACTTTGAATTATGTGCGTTAGGCATTTTAAATCCCTCGGGAATTTTCATGTATATCTCATTATCAAGTGAGCCATAAAGGTAGGCGGTAACCACATCCATTAAATGCATGTCAAGCTTTTCATGGACAGCAAAACTAATGAGATAACGGAATGTTATAGCATCCATAACGGGTGAATATGTCTCTTCATAATCGACACCAGGCCTTTGTGAAAATCCTTGTGCAACAAGGCGTGCCTTATATCTTTGTACCTCATTTTTCTCATTCCTCTTGCGTACAAAGACCCATTTATAGCCAACAGGCTTAACACCATTAGGTGTTTGGACTACAGGCCCAAAAACTTCACGTTTTGCAAGTGAATTCAACTCTGATTGGATTGCTTCTTGCCATTTTGGCCAATCACGTCTTTGTCGACATTCTCTAACAGATTGAGGTTCAAGATCCTCATTATCTTGCATAATGCTAGATGCAACATTATATGCAAAGACATAATCCACCACTATATCCAATCGATTCAAATTTGTCTCAATATCGATTGGATTTATTGATAGTTCCTTATTTTCTTGAGTCTCAGGCTTAGTGATTTCCTCATGAATCTCAGAATTTATTAAATCGTGGATTTCTTCATGAGATTCTTTCGTAGTGTCATTTCGATCATTTGTTTTCCTTTTTCTAGGATTTCGATCTTTGGAACCCAATGGTCTGCCACGTTTTAGGCGTGCTTTTGACTCAATAGTTATGACACTAGAAGATTGTCCAATAGGGACATCAATACGGATTTGAACATTCTCTGCAGGGATATGTGATTTTGTTATCCTTTTCAAATCCGTAAATGCGTCTGGCATTTGATTTGCTATTCTCTGCAAATGGATAATCTTTTGCACCTCTTTTTCACAAATAGAGGCACGTGGATCAAGATGAGATAATGATGGATTTTTCCACAAAATTTCCCGTTTGTCACCAACTTCTCCCCCTAATTTTGGGAAAAGTGCCTCATCGAATCGACAGTCTGCAAATCGTGCAGTAAACAAATCCCCCGTTAATGTTTCGAGGTAGCGAATAATGGAGGGCGATTCAAACCCAACATATATTCCTAACCTTCTTTGGGGACCCATTTTGGTGCGATATGGCGGTGCTACAGGCAAATATACTGCGCATTCAAAAACTCTTAAATGGGATATATTAGGTTCATGACCCAAAACTAATTGCAACGGGGAATATTTATGATAATTTGTCAGTCTGAGACGAACTAGCATTGCTGCATGTAAAATGTCGTGACCCCAAACAGAAGTGGGCAACCTCGTTTTCATGAGTAACGGTCTTGCTATCAATTGCAGACGTTTAATTAAAGACTCTGCAAGACCATTTTGAGTGTGAACATGAGCTACAGGATGTTCTACTTTTATCCCAATTGATAAGCAATAATCATTAAATGCTTGGGATGAAAACTCAACAGCATTATCAAGTCTAATAGACTTAATTGGATTATCGGAAAATTGCGCCCGTAATCGAATTATTTGTGCCATTAATTTTGCAAACGCGAGGTTGCGAGATGACAATAGGCACACATGAGACCATCTAGAAGATGCATCTATTAACATCATAGAATATTTAAACGACCCACTAGGTGGGTGAATAGGTCCGCAAATGTCCCCTTGTATACATTCCAAAAACGCATGGGACTCAATCCCAACCTTTGTTGGTGATGGTCTAATAATTAACTTGCCTTGATAACAAGAAGTGCAAGAAAATTCATTATTTAAAAGAATCTTTAAATTCTTTAATGGATGCCCATTTGAATTTTCTATAATTCGTCTCGTCATAATTGATCCAGGGTGTCACAATCGATCATGCCAAAGTACAAAAGTATTAGAACCAGTAACCTTTTGGTTTACAATCGAATATGCCTCAATTGCACTAATTCTTGTCCAATACAGGCCACAAGACAAAGATGGGAACTTCTCAATAGCCCTTTTCTGGCCAAAGACATTTTTGGTAATGATGAGATATTCAAGATTACTCTCATCTATTGTTTCAATATGATATCCATTTCGCCAAATATCTTTAAAACTCAACAAGTTCCTCTTGGACTTGGAGGAGAACATTGCATTCTTGATCACGCCCAACTCTAGTCCTAAAAAGGATAAGCGGTTGCTGCAAATATAGTCCGATCTAAAAGTCCGGAGTCGAATCCCACAGAGAACTAAGGCTTAGCTATATTTGTTTAATATCACTAAGAAGACAAGTTTGAAATTTTTTCTAAATTATAAACATTGAGATTTATATTTCTAACTAATTAACTAGCAAATACTACAAAGCGATAAAATTATCAACTAACGAGACAAAGGGTTGAAGACTAAGTTAAGGAGGTCTAGAGTTATGATTTTCCCACTTGTCGGAATCCTTCTATCTATGTTCCCTACAATTTCGCCAATGTATTCTCTACCGATTGTGAGTACTTTGGTTGTCGTAATTCTCTCTCGAGCAACTACCACAATTTACTAGATATATTCTCTCGAACTACACTAGCTGACATTAATTCACTGCACACTAAGATCACACCAAGATTTCGTTATCTCTAATCCCGCCTTTAAACCCTCCGTATTGATCTCTCACATACGTTAGGAGTGATGTTATTCAACAACTACCTAAATATGTATCCTTTCTCAAGAAACACATAATAAATAGGCACAGTCAATCGATGGCCATTCAATCAACAACAATAAACACGTAGTTGAACAAGTAGAGAAATCCAACGGCTCAATTATACAAAAACATAACAAGAATTTATCCTACAAAAGGTTCCATCGAAATCCTAGATAACAAATTAGCTATTCATAATAGTATATAAAACTACTATACTAAAAATCATAACCAATAATGAAAAATAGGAAGAAGGAAGTGAAAAACTCGTAGAAGAATTCTCCGCCTTGCTCCCAGTGTGTTCTTGACTCCTTAGGTCGAATCCCCGGTCTCCTTAGCCTCCTTAGGTCTAAATTATGTCAAAAGTGTGTCCAAAATTGGTCTCTCCCTTTAAAATACCGTTTTTCCATGTATATATACCAAGTAGGGTCGGACC